TTGTTAGACAAAAGTAAATGATAATATTCAATTACTTTTTTCCAGAAAGAATGTTCATTTACAATCGGAAATCTTTATTTGAAATGCTATTAACCCTTATGCGTGATTTTTTTATCTTCGTGTGTCAACGTTCTTTATATATCTGTTCACACCTGTAAAAACTACATTAAAATGGATATACATAAATTGTTGTCAATCGTGAGGACATTCGCATTAAATGCGCATCTACAATATCAAATGTATTTAACCTAATCCCAACCCGACTTAACGACTAATTTTACATTCGTACAATAGTCTGTCGTCTCCGGATGTTGAATACTAGAAAGTAATAATAAAATATGTTTGTATTTTACATTTGAAAATTAAGTTCAAGCAATGAGATTTACAGTATTTGGTTTCATGGTGGTGTGTATGTTTCCTATAGTAAGCCTGATGTCATCGTCCGATGTTTTTTCAGGTGCTCTTTAACAGATCCGACTGGCACTGTCCTGTGACGTGTGATTCGAACATAAGAGCATCAGCAATTGTGAACTGCTGCGTGTGTCAAGTCGAAGTTAAAGAAAAGACAATGTCGACATTAAATGTAGTGTATGATGAAGTCTCGGAGGAGGCAGTCATAAATGAATCAAATTTATCGCATGAGTATTACCAAATACAACATTATTTCGATGGAGTTAAAAAAACTTTCTATCAATTTATGCAACTTTACAGGTATTATTGAAATTGATTTCTCTTTTAAAGAAATAGCAAACATAGATACTATTGCATGTGTAAAAAGGTTGGAAACTCTGTCAATGTATCGGAATAAAATAAAGTATTTGAAAAATGATACGTTTTTTGGAATGAAGTACCGGTATCTTCGCTATGTTGATCTCTCATATAATGTTTTGAAGTATATTGAACCTGGACTTTTTATGAATATGGATGGCAGTCTTCTAAGGTTTGATGCTAGTTACAATTTACTGAAAAGTATGGACGTAACAAATATATTCTGGACAAAACAGCCTGATTTTTTTCAGAGTAGATTTCTCCTTCAACCAAATAGCAAAGGTAACCAATGAACTGAGGTGGGAGTGCAAAGAGGATACACAGTTTGGAAGTGGCGGGCTAGTAAACTTTTTCAGCAACAGTTTCTCTATTTTCTTCGATTTTTCTGATTTAGGATTCAAAAATTTCTTTTTATTTGGAAAACTGTTATACTATTCCTTTGATTTCCGGGAAAATAAATGGGCTTGTGATTGCAGATTTTATCCTTTTGCTCTTAAAGCCACAGGGTTTGTGGAAAAGCTGGACAGAGACATTTATGACTTAAGGTGCCATTCTCCGCCTGAATTAAGAAATATGTATTTTCCTGAATTAGTGAAGAGCAAAGCTTTTGACCTTCTAACATGCAATCTATCAATTGCCGACAGTTGTCCACCAATTTGTCGGTGTTTTACCAGCCTGGGAGAACAAGGACTGTTGTGGATTGTTCCGGAACAGGAAGAACAAAGTTACCGTCTGCTTTACCGTATATAAAAGATCTTGAAGTAGATTTTTCGAATAATCAAATATCCCGAGTAGATAACGAGAGTGTTATACTTTCATACAGTCAAAACATGACTAGTATTAATTTATCGTACAACGAAATTGAAATTCTTTCAGACGAACTCTTTTATAAATTAAGAAACGTAACAAAAATTATTTTTTCAGGGAATAAAATAAAGAAAATTCCACGTTCAAGCTCTCAAACTTTGTCAGATATATCTTGGTTATATCGTACTCGAGTGTTAATGTAAAGATACCTGGCTTCAAAAATGGCTGCTACCTTCTCATTGTAAATGTTACAATAATAGGAGAATATATTGCGATTACAAAAATAAATTGGTAAATATTCTTAGCATGACTGATGTCGACCTAGAACGTAAATTTTACAGTGGATACATATTATGGCTAACCATCTCTTTGGCTGTGATAGTGCTTGTTGTTGCTTTTTCTTCAACAATAGTATACTACTTCCGGTTCGAAATATTTATAATGACACGGAAATTAATCAAATACTTCAAAACAACTGAAGTTCCTTTAAAATTGTAGATCTATGATGTCTACATATCATGCTGTGAAGATGATGCTAATTTACGCCGTTGGTTCCGTTCATTGAAGACGAAAATCTGCGAGAATTTCTACCCTTCCGTGATAGCGAGTTTGGACGACCGCGTGAAGAAGAGATCATTGAAACAATGTCAAAAAGTCTCAATTTTGTTATTATTCTTAGGGAAGATTATGAGGGTTTCTCTGAAATGTGGATTGAGAAAGAATGGAAATATGCTTGGTTTAACTAAAAGTCAGATTTAAATCGAGAAATAGTTATTATCAATTATGATATGTTGAAATATGAAGATATAGCAAAGAAGTATCTAGGAGCATTTTTGAAACTTCATACTTTTATAGATTTCTCAAACCACACAAAATGCATCAAATGTAGAAGTATACCATAGCCTTCAACAAGTTCAGAAAACAGTTAGAAAGAAGAGTAAAACATCAAATTACCTTAACTCTTTCAAAAGAATGCCATCTAATTAGAAACGGTGATGGAGAGTAATATTAAGCATGAAAATCCAGTAAGTGTTTAACATCGGAACTTTAAATGTATGTATTTTTCATAGAACGGACTTAATTTTAATTACGAATGGCCAATTTGCAAATGCTCTAAATTGTTTTAATGTTTTGAAAGCGTACCATATGTGATCTACATTAAAAGGGGCATTAGCTACGAGATATATTGATTTTTTTTTTCAATAATTAATGAAAGTGAAATAGTGAAATAATAATTTGCTTTTAGCAGCCAGTTGGTTCAATTCCACCAAAATAAGCTAAGAAACATCGCTGATGAATTATTCACTTGCAAGTGAATAATTCGACCTCATTATATTCGTGTTCATGTGACCTTCTATTTAACCCCTTGGCTAGAGATAGGTTACGTATAAACTAGGAGTGTTCAGCTATTAAAGGGAAAATAATGTCAACATTGAAAGTGAAACAAGGGTAAGCCATTTGGTTGACTGATTCGATCCACAAAAACTCATTCTTGTACACGGGTAAAAACGATGATTATCATATTTGTTTAAATAGTTATCAAAGGTACCAGGCTTATAATTTAATATGCCAGACGCGCGTTTCGTCTACATAAGACTCATCAGTGACGCTCAGATCAAAATCAAACAGACCTAGAAAAATCCAATTGCATGTGTTCACTTTCTATTTCTTTTTATATTTATGTTTTCAGGTTAAATAACCGTCGGCAGTCTTTGGAAGTCACCTCGATTAGCGCCTCTAGTTACATATTAAGTAGTTCATCTTAAACTGACCAAATCAAACTTTTATATGTCATTTATGCAAAAGTTTCTAGGTCAATAAACCATGACTTAGGGGGAGGGCTAGACAATCTCCATGGATATGAAATTTGCCAGTGTTAATAGAACTGCTTACCAAATACAGAGTGCCTCCACAACTTAGTCAAGGTTCCTAAACCCCAATGACTTGTGGCTGAAGAAATATGACAGAAATGTGTTACAGACAGTCAGACAGTGAGTTGTAATCCAGTGTACACATTATTTGCAGGGGTGTATTAAAAAAAATTATTATTACAATAGCACATGCTCTCGACTTAGACCGACACTTAATGCAGAGTTCAAGAGTGATTAACTGTTGAAGGTGTTGTTTCGTATCAACCTTCAGAAAATGTTTCCTGCATATTCAGCGCATGAATGATTCAGACAATTAAAAAAAGAAATAGTTGGCCAAGTAGGTATACTGAGGTGGCAAGCAGTAAAACAGTACGTGTTACAAAAGTTCTTGTGTTGTTACAGAGAGTAAATTAAGGCATTTGAGGTCAAGTATAAAACTTTAACCAATCCAATTAACACAAGAGTGCACACACTGAAATGTCTCGCCTTCTTTACTAATCATTGATATTATGTTGATAGTCCTAAATATAAAGCTTTATTACAACTGTCACATAAACTTAACATTAACCAAGTAAACTAAACATTGACCAATGAACCATGAAAATGAGGTCAAGGTCAGATGAACCATGCTAGGCAGGCATGTACAGCTAACAATTCTTCCTTACAACAAATATAGTTGACCTATTGCATATAGTATTAGAAAAAAAGACCAAAACTCAAACACTTAACTTTGACCACTGAACCATGAAAATGAGGTCAAGGTCAGATGACACCTGCCAGCTAGACATGTACACCTTACAATCATTCCATACACCAAATATAGTAGACCTATTGCATACAGTATAAGAAAAACAGACCAAAACACAAAAACTTAACTATAACCACTGAACCATGAAAATGAGGTCAAGGTCAGATGACACCTGCCAGCTAGACATGTACACCTTACAATCATTCCATACACCAAATATAATAGACCTATTGCATACAGTATAAGAAAAACAGACCAAAACACAAAAACTTAACTATAACCACTGAACCATGAAAATGAGGTCAAGGTCAGATGACACCTGCCAGTTGGACATGTACACCTTACAGTCCTTCCATACACCGAATATACGAGACCTATTGCTTATAGTATCTGAGATATGGACTTGACCACCAAAACTTAACCTTGTTCACTGATCCATGAAATGAGGTTGAGGTCAAGTGAAAACTGTCTGATGGGCATGAGGACCTTGCAAGGTACGCACATACCAAATATAGTTATCCTATTACTTATAATAAGAGAGAATTTAACATTTCAAAAAATCTTAACTTTTTTTTCAAGTAGTCACTGAACCATGAAAATGAGGTCAAGGACATTGGACATGTGACTGACGGAAACTTCGTAACATGAGGCATCCATATACAAAGTATGAAGCATTCAGGTCTTCCACCTTCTAAAATATAAAGCTTTTAAGAAGTTAGCTAACGCCGCCGCCGCCGGATCACTATCCCTATGTCGAGCTTTCTGCGACAAAAGTCGCAGGCTCGACAACAAAACAAAGCCAGCTCTGATTGTGACATATGTTTATTTTATACGAAGATATAGACAACGTAAAACAAGTCATTAAAGTATACCAAAATAGGTAGTAAGATTGTACATTAGCCTTTAAAAGCAAGCTCTCGTTCAATTGTACATTTGTGTTACTAAAAATATCATGACTACATTTATATATTACATTGAGGATCACTACTGTAAAACCCCTTATACCACAAATACCTTCAAACATGTTCACAAGTTAAAGACAATTCTGCAAAACATGGTGCAGTTAGGAATGGGTATTTTTCATAGCAAAAGACTATCACTTCAAAATAAAGACTTGTCTGTTATATTTGTGATTTTGGAATTGTAATATTATCATTACTAAGGACTAAATTTTCTAAAGCTGTAACCAATCATAATTCTGTAAAATACTGTAAATATTAAAACAATCAACAATGGGGACTTCTATCTCCTCAAATATTTTTTTCATCTTGCATTTCCATGAATTTAAAATGTCTGGATAAATTAACACCATAAATTATAATCTATTTACAATTATATTGTAAGGGAGTTATTTGAAATATACAATTAGTTATAAGATTTAAATACTTGTCATGTACATGTTCTTTTATTTCTTTAATTGATGAAAGAAATTTGCAAACATTTCAAAACAAATTGAAAACAAAAATATAGCCGATATTTTATGCACCATAATTGCATGAAATCAAGTTTGTAGTATACCACTTCTAGCACATTATTTTGACATCACAAAAACAGCGAACTATTGGACGGAAAACATGCATCTCCTAAAAAAAAACTAAAATCTGCATAATTGATATGCATTCCTTTATATAGTGACTTTAAAATTTCTACAATTAACTGTAGTCCCCCTTTATTAGGCTTTTTTTAAAGGGAGAGAATGCCTCTTGGGAGGATGTATGTGTCTAAACAATATTTTTTTGGTTTAACCTCTCACTTATTGATCTATAAATTTTAAAAGCCACATTTCCTCTGCAGAAAAGATGCCCTCAATAGCTTTGAATACAAAACCTGTTCTATAAACAATGAAAAAAAAAATATTTATTCTCTTCCTTCGAAGGAAAGTGCTGAAGAAATCACTTTTTACAATTATCTTTCTGAGTATACCTTTAAACACAATTGTACAGTTTAATGTTATTTTGAAATTTGTTAAAATGAAAGACACTTAACTCAATATATATTTTTAGTAATAAAAGGCAATAATTGATTGCATAGTCCAGCTTAACTTCTATTTTCCATATACCCTTTTTTCTACTTAAATTATTTACTATAGAACTGTAATTAATTCATTTATAGAAGAAAAACTGTACCAAGAAATTATACTTCTTCTGTCTACAGATTGTTAAATATCAATTCATCTTTACATCAACTGAAGAAAACAATGTATAAACATGTAAAAGCTAGTAACTTTTTCTTTTCTAAAAAGCTAATTTAAACAGCTCCTAACTGAACCAATTTTGTTGTAGGCAGACTATATGAATTTCAGACAGTATACTCAGTAGTGAAACATATGTAGACTATTTACAATATCATGTAAATTAATGTAAATATGATATGTGGAAATCAAATCTGGAATGTACATAAGAATAAATAGATTTGTGCAATGTTCAAAGATTACAATAAATAAATTCCTTAACTAAAACTAAATAATATGATAAAAAGTGAATATATATGAGACTCATGTGAAATCCAATAAAAAATAAGTATAGAGTCTGTACATTTTCAAGAATAAATGAAGGAAAAGTATAAGAAATGACCATTACCAGGAGTTGATTAATTTTTTTACTATACTTGGACTATGTTCTTCCAATTTACACTTGGAAATATCCTTTGCTGTATAAATTTCAAGATTGTCTGAAATCATCATATAATAATAGTATAGAAAGCATGAAGACAAGAGAAGACAATTAAAAATTAATCTTCATTGAACAAAAGATTAACAAAATTCTGAAACTTTTCCCCACAAATATGCAGACATATTTGTATATATTCTTTCAAAAAATACTATGACATGAATATCTATACTTTAATATCTATTAAGCCTTTTAAACAAGATTGTAATTAACAAAGTAGAAAATAAAGGAAATGTAAATAAAAACTAAACAATATGAGAAATCAACTAAATAATAGTCAGTATTGCACAATGCTTTATTACACACAATGATTCAAAATTGTTTCTATCACATTGAAATACATTTCTCAATTTAACATGAAACAAGAATGTGTCCATAGTACAAGGATGCCCCCTCGCATTATCATTTTCTATGTTCGGTGGACGGTGAAATTGGGGTCAAAACTCTAATTTGGCATTAAAATTAGAAAGATCATATCACAGGGAACATGTGTACTAAGTTTCAAGTTGATTGGACATCAACTTCATCAAAAACTACCTTAACCAAAAACTTAAACCTGAAAAACTTGAACCTGAAGCCGGACAGATAGACGGACGAACAAACGGACGCACGGACCGAAAAACATAATGCCCATAAATGGGGCATAAAATATAAATATAATTTGATCAAATGGAGTGAACTGAATGATTATACACAGAATTTAAAAGTACTATTATAAATTTATTACAGCTTGGGATGGTTGTACATTTCACCTGTATAAATTCCCTTATTCAGATTAAACATTTTACTGTTAAAATTTGATATATAGTTGCCCTATCTAGCTTTTTGTTTGCATGGATGAAAATTATCTGGAGAAATTCTTTACCATGCCAAAGTGTTGTTTGTCTATAAAAAAATATATATCTCTCATAAGATATTGAACCTTCACTGGTATTTTTTTCAATGTGGTGTAATCAAGACAACATACACAATTTTTTAACATACATGTACATCAATTGACAGCCTTTGTGTAAAGAACAAATGAAATGATACAACTCCATTTAGTTACATGTAAAAGTGTGTCTATCATTTGTACTATAAGGGAATTTTTCAGAATGAAGCAGTAACAAAAAATCCAACATGGTTTTTGCACAAACTGCATTTAAATTATTAAATAAGTTATCCTTTTTTTCAAGTAAACGTGTTTATTTACAAAAGTTTAGAATTACACACAATATTCATCTAACTTTACAATCATTCTGATGGAATGTACATCGTAACAATTATGCACCATATAATTAGGTTTAATCAGGTAAAAACACTTATACAATCTTTAATGACTCTCAAATATCAAAAATAACTTTGTGGCTTACAACAGACCTCAACTCTTTTTTAGGTATTTACCAACAAGGTAGGTTCATGCAGAAGACTTTCTGCTATCCCCTTAAATATATCTCTCTCTTCTAAGTTGTGTATTTGATGATAGAAGTTAATAATGAAAATGTTGTAACTAAATATCACCCACAGACACATACGTTTTACAGTGAATCACCAACTTCATCATCATGTCAACTGAAGAAGGTTCAAAATTTTGAATCTGCATTTTTTAAGGTAATTGGTGAAAAAGTTATGTTACCCATAAGGGAGAAATTAATCGTCCCAAAAGAATTATTTGGTGTGAAGAGTATTTAATAAAAACAAAAATCAATTAAGTAATAAAATTTTATATGGATGGGTCAATTGTTTAGGTCGTTTATCAATTAAAACACAAAATAAATCCCAATCTTCTGAATTTGAAAAAGTTCAAAATTTTTGAAAAAAGAAAGCTTATTTTAAGTAAATGTAAGATTTTACAAAAGTTGATAGAACTTGGATATTGTCCCACAGTTCATTTGCCAAAAAAGAAAAGCAGAAAAAAATTAATTGAGCATATTTTGGAAAAATACTTATAATGTAATGTTTATTGTTATCATTTTAAGCGGCAAGTATTAATTATCAGTTATTATGCAAAATCTGTTAGTAATATATCTATAAATGTATATATCTTAAAACTTAAAAAATTCTATATATTAGGACTTTTTCAATTTTCCCTGAATAAAAAATCTACATACAATAAACAAGCAACACAAAATGGCTACACACAGGTGGGACAATAATCAAGTGTTGTGATTTTTATTCACATTCTCCTGGTTTGTTGCTAAAAGGTCAGGTATTTCAGCTATGATAAATAAAAACTTGTAGCTGAAACAAATCAAGTCAATGTTATTCCCTGTTCATTGATATTTTTGTTTTTAATCATATGACTGATTAGCATAATGTCTATTTACAGCCATTGATCAATGAAAATTTGTATGTGTAAGCCAGTGACCAGTGAGATCTGGTATCTGTTTAATTTTGTCTTTTTTGGCTATGCTCCACTGTTATATGCGTAATCAGCTTTGTTGTGCATGATCAGCTTGTCTTCAACAAAGTAAAAACTGTCTGATCGTGTATCAAATGGATGATCCATCATGTCTTGAACTGAAAATAGAATAAAATAAGTTTATTTCAAAATTGGTATTTATTTTCATACTTTTTATTTTTTGGTTTTTTCCCTCAAAAAAATTTTTATATGCAAGGAAAATCTGTTGATTCATTTGATTGTAACTTCGAGCATTTAAATTTATCAAATTAATTAACAGTTACATGTATCTTGTAGTACAATGAAAAACTCCAATCATGAAAAGTAGGTTTCCTTTGTACAAGACATCCTATTCACAGAATTTGTTTGCTTATTTTCCAACCAGAAAAAATGTGTGAAAATAGCACCTACTAAATAGTTCAAAAAAATTAACAATATTGATGTGAACATGGTGAAGAGCGCACTTATCATGGATGTGTTAATTTAACCCTCATACCAAAAAGTTAATGCATTGAAATTACAGAAATTACCAGTGAAAACATCAAGGTTTACAGAAAATTTTGGTAAATTTGGTAAGTTCAGATGAAAATTAAATAAGTCTGGTCAAAATTAATATTATTACAACCAGGTTAAACATATTTGACACTATAGAGCAAGTCAAGCAGGGTGGTTCAATCTAAGAGTGGACTAAAATAAAAAGCCACTTAAAACTACAACCATTAACAGCACATGTCTTTGATAAAATGTATTGTTGTTTATCTTAAAACCACTTACTTTCTTCTGTGGTTAATGTAGGAAATTCATATATATGTTCCACTGTATTCCTACTGTGTGGGATACAAAACCCAAACTCAAAATCAAAACTTTTCAACAGTTTTTCTTTAAAGAAATGTCTTTCTATCATTCTAAACTTGCTGACTGGTTTATCTCCAACTACAAACTCTACCCTGAAATATCAAATGCATGAAATACAACTTTTTCTATCATGTCTACTTAAACTGTTTCTAACTTCATTCCACTGCTAAAAGCTATATTGTAGTTTGTTTCTCTCCCATGTCACCCAAATAAGGAGGTATGATAAGAGCCATTATTTGACCCGGATATCGCAAAACTAGTAAACTTATTCAAGCCTTTCAAAATCATGTTAATTTTATTGATAAATGAACAGGTTAATATAATCTGGACACTTTAGTACAGAAAGGTCACATGTGAGGTCAGTATGACTCATAAACATGTCAAAATTTAAATATTTGCCTAAAAATGGCCATTTAATGCCTATTTTTTGGTCAAAATCTATAATAATTAGAAATGAGCAACAGCTTTAACCAAAAAGATAATTCACATATATTAACATATTTGTAAAATATATTTTGAAGCAAAATATCTTTTTGGATAAAACTTACTAATTAATATAATTGAGTAATATATCTGAATATTAACGATAAGATCTCAAAATGAGGCTATTTTGGCAGTTTTTGCTGTTTTGCACTAAACGCAAGAAGTTTGAAGCCCTAAAACCATTATGTATAAAAACAAAATACAAAAATATAAATACTGGTGTCAGACAGGCTGCTGCATTATGATTAAGTCAAATATAAGTGGTAGATTTATAATATTTTTTGATTTTCAGAAACAAGGTGCCAATGAATGGCCTCACCATACCTTCTCCTTTATTACATACTCTTCAAGATTTTGCCTGATTTAGAGATTGACATATTGTATAGACATGTTCACTAGTCTTTTGTTGGAGACCAAATGTTGACCTCCAAATGGTACTTTGTTCTTGGGTTGTTAGCTTGTTGTCTCATTGATGTAATCCTCTCTTCTCTTTTAGTTCATATGTGTGACCACAATGTTCAGGTTTGGTTTTTAATACTCCTATTTTTGTCAGAATTCTGACATTTTCTATGGCATGGTTTTCATTATAAATCCTGCCAGTCAGACATATACACCTTACAATTATTTTATACAACAAATATAGTTGACCTATTGCTTATAGTACATTGTATCTCACAAATAGACCAAATCAGACAAAATTTACATTGAGAGAATCTGGTGTTGTTGTAAGATACTTTGGACTCTACTATTCGTGGGATACCAATTTTCGTGGTTTTCATGGGCATGATGGGTACACGTTAACCATAGAACAACCTTTTATATATGCTTACATGGAGAAATTGGCAAAACCAGGAAATCAGATATCCAGGAAAACTATTTATCCCCAATCCACGAAAGTTGGTATCCACAAAAGTAAATGAATTCACACGAACTAATTACTGTAAATATATAAATTATTGCAATTTTCAAAGAATGCACCAGAATGCGAGGTTAAATATTGCGATTTCATCAAAAGCTTCATAGAGATATATGTATCAGATGTCAGAATGCAAGTTCTTATTATTGCGATCCTTACCAGTCGCATTTTTCGCATTAATAAAAACTTCGCAATAATTTCTGAATACACAGTACCTTTTTTTTTAAACTTGTGGCAATTGAGAACTTGACATATTATATAGATGTGTTTTATTCATGTTATTGCTGAAGACTGCAAACTTGACATGTATAGGTTATATATGTCATTGGGTTGCTGTCACATTGACAAAAAAAAAATACATGAATTACATGTAACCAACAACTCCCTTTGTTCACATTGAAGTATATAAGTATGATAAGTACTCAACTTAGGTATTTTATTCCATCCACAAACATAACCAAAAAAATATTAGGATTTTTAAAAAAATCAAACCAACTGTCATGGTAAATTTAAACATAATACACTGTTTGACAAATGGTGAACACTTAAGAAAGTAAAGGAATGCCTATATACATACGTAGCTCCTACTGTTTTTAATCTTAAAAACTGTGGAGTGAACTGGTATCGTACAAATCTTCCTGCATTTGGATCAATTTCGTCTGGATCAACATCTTCATCCTCTTCTATTAAAATAATGAAATAATTTTAATATTCCCTAAGGTCAAAAGGAATTGATACAATTTTTAAGGTACTGACCAGAATAAGTGTCCATAAGACACAATGCCCTGCTCACATGATCATATTTCCATGTTCAGTGAATTGTGAAATCTGATTCAAAACTGTTATTTGGTATATATCTGTAATACAACTGTAGTTCACATCTTAATGAAGATCTGTATTAAACTTTGAGTAGATGTCACCACAACTTGATGGTTAACTACCTAAACCAAAACTTCAACCATAGAAAGTACTGGTTTCACACTAACACATTTCCATGATCAGTGAACCAGGAAATTTTTTAGTACATTGCAAATATTGCCAAAATAAAATTGGTCATGTTTCTTAAAAATCAATAACATTCCAAGCAGGTTTTAAACAGATTTCCTTTACCTTAACTGCAAGTAGAAAACACAGTGTGTAATACCTTGACTTCTATATAAACCATAATGTACAGTATTGACATACACAATGTACATGTATTGGATTTTATCATTTAGGATATTTTTCTATTGCAGTCATAGCAATTCAAACTTTTTCACTATCTGTGATTGTGATCTCGTAGTCATAAATGTCAGTGTGGAAATAACAGGATCAGTGTTAACTGTAATATATAGTGATCAGTCATCATAGAGGCAGATAGTGATATGCACATACAAATCATTTTGAATGTTTAGACCTTTACCACAACATATAGTTGCAAAACTGATGCACTTTGTAATATGAGATCTGTTCAAAGTATAACAGTTTCTGTATTATTTTATGCAAGGTTGGGCAGTAAACATATACCGCCCATGGTACATTTTGTATTTGCCGCCCTAGGCCTGGACAATACTTCTCAAGTGGTCAATTATAGGCAATTACAATTTTCAAGGTGGTCTTTCCTATTATTTCAGAATATATATAGAATGACTACATTGTGATATATCATTTCAACATGTATGAATCAAGATAATTTTACTTGATCATGTATGATTTTTAAACATGTTAAAGGGGCATTAGCTGTCAAATTCATGTTCACCAATTTCACTCAAATTCTCATATTTGATTTACAGTATCAGCATTTTGTGTGTATTTTAGTCTAGACGCCATCTAATTAACCATTGAGGTGACCTCCTAAGACCGCAGACAGTCATATAACCAATATAAACATAAATGTAGATATAAATAGCGAACTCGTGCAATTGGATTTTTCTAGGTCTGTTTGATATCATATTATAGTTTAAAAATGTATATTTATCATTGTTTTTACCTGTATAAGAATGAGTTTTTATGGATCGAATCAGTCAATCAAATGGTTTACCCTTGATTCACTTTCAATGTTGACATTCTATTCCTTTTAATAACTGAACACGCCTAATTCATGCGTAACCTATCTAAAGCTAAGTGGTTAAATTGAAGGTCACATGAATACGGATTCAATGAGATCGAATTATTTACTTGCAAGTGAATAATTCATCAGCATTGTTTCTTAGCTTATTATGACAAATTTGAACCAAAACTGGCTGCTAAAAGAGAATTATTATTTCACTATCTCACTTTCAATAATGATTGAACAAGAAAAAAAATCATATTTTAATTTTTTTTTATTTCTCGTAGCTGATGCCCCTTTAAAGTTTAATTAAATTACAGGTGACAGGTTTACGGGTAAATTGTACTTTATAACCTATTACCAGACCAAGTAGGATAGGTGTGAAAATTCAATTAGTAAAACAGCAGCAGCCAATACCAATCTTAAATGGATGCAAGACATAATTTTGGGCTAAATCATAAGCTTGACCATGGTATCATTTGACAATTTTGGAGCCAACTTTACATTTGGGCTGATCATTTTTTTAAGCTTTACAGGTAATTTACAGGTAAAATTTATCAATATCAATATTTGATATAAGATATACATGATATATAAGATATTAGATAAAAAAAATACATCCAACATAAAAATCAGCTCATTGATGAGAAAGTTCAAACCATGCTAGTTTAAACAGAAAAGAAATTAAAGTTTTACAAAATGTACACCATTTAGTTTTCAGTGAAGATCAGCCTGTATCACAAGATTACAGTTTTTAAAGGCTGTTAGATCTAGAACTAGGACCAGAATAAATCTTTGAAAAAACCTACTAGATGCAGGGCTCACACTACTTTAGAATCATAGGGAGAAGTGACTTCTCTTTTTGAAATTGAGAGGGAGAAGTGGTGAGATTTGAAAGAGAAGTGCTTGTTCGCTCGTGGGGCTACAATGTTTGGATTTTACTATAATACATTAAGGGCCATATGTATTTTATCTTTTTTATATTGTTCAATTTGTACCTGGGTATACAATTAACATGATTAAAGTAACTGTTCAAATTTAAAGTTGTTTAATTTTATCATATCTAGTTGCACAATCAAATGAGTTCTCTTGTCAGAAAAAAACAATTAAATATCTGGCAATAAAAAAAATTAAAATTTACTTAAAAAAACTACTCTGTTATCATGTTCATGAAATTAATTATTTCTCATTAAAAAGATATATAAATTTAACAGTTAAGCTTGGACATAATATAATTTTATTAGTGTAATAGTCCCAGAGTTGAGCAACTTTAACTTATAAATTGAAACAATGCATATACATGGAAATATATACATGATATACATTAACCAAGAAGATTTAACCAAAAGTATGTTAATGCGTGTGGAATGCATAATTTTTCCTTTTGTCTGTCAGCAGTGCCATTCATGCGTCCGTAGTCATTATCGCAAGAATCTGGATTTCGGTCATAGCGGGTCCGTTTCCAATGAAATCCTGACTCTGATCCGTAGTTGTACAATAATGTGCCCAAAAATTTAAATGTAGAAGAAAAATTTACAAAAATAAACGAGGTTTGACACACTATTTGGAAAGGAATATGGCGTTTTTAATGCAATACATGGATAACAAGTTTACTCCAGGCAAATTTCATCAAGTTCTAATGAAGTAATAACTTATTTTGCCGAAAGTTAGAATGATTTGATGTACGTTCTCGTGCAACAAAGTAGCGGAAGTGATAACAACTTGTTTTTATGAAATAACATGCCACCAGCTTAAAAATCAATGCTTGAACCTCTTTTTTGAAGAAAATCGTTTATGCCTTGAATTTCTTTACTTTTAATTGAAAATTGTTGTTTCGTCGACTTTGTAAAAATTGAATATTGCCGATGACTAAAGCGAGTATGGTAAACAACAGGGTGACTTGTTTTCGCTTTTGGGGGTAGGGCAAAGCGAAGTGACGGACGGGAAAACGACTTCTTCGCCCTAGTCGCCTGGTAGCGTGAGCCCTTTAGATGTACTTTTTTTCATATCTTAACATAGCTGTTTTACACCATCATATTGTACATAGTTTAAACAATATTTAGTGCTAAAAAGACTTGTTTTGCTGAAAATCCAACTTTAACAACCCAGTGGTAACATGGGAGTAGACACTGTCTGACAAACTGACAAAAAGAATGGAAACATAAAAAGAGCAATTATAAATATGTCATATTTTACATATGGAATAATAATATATAATCTACATTTGTAGATATTTTAATGTAATTTACCTCTATGTGGAAAGATTAGCCTAAATATCAACTTAAAAATTTAACCCAAATGTCAACTTGACATTGGCCAAAAATGTAACCTATTTTAAGCCAAAATGATACACCAATTAGCCCAAATGTGCATCTCCCTCTGAAATAAAATGTTGACATAACTGTGGCGAAGTAACGTCTTTTCAAACGCCAGACAAAAAATCTCAGTACAGAAAAATGGAAAGGTTGAAGGACATTTAGTCGTACTGCAATACTGTAAGTGAAAAAGTATCAAGACTGATGGTGCAAAGTTCAATGAACCAGATAGATGGTTTGTTTCACTGTCAATCAACTATATATTTATACTATCAATAGTTTTTTTCACGAAATAGTCCTCTTGGAATTTGTTTAATAATAATTTAAACGTTCAAAACAATGTTTACCTGCAGGAGGAGGTTTGGCAACCTCAAATATCACAGACCCAGAATCCATATCCCTCAACTTAAACCTTGTAAAGTCTATTCCATAAATATTGGCCTCTGGAGGGCACAAATAATCTGAAAAGAAAAAGTAGCAAATGTCAATTCAAACTCAACTGGAATATTTTGATTTCAATATTTAATAGCAGTTTGTGTACCTATTTCAGGATTTTTAAAAAAGTCATAAACAAACATACGATTTCACTTAAATTTAATATTATTTTAATATATTTATGTTGAAATGTTTGCTGAAAACAACATTAATAACGGACAGGGTGACTCATCATCATTTCATATACGTCTCCCACAAATTTCGAAAAACTCACTGTCTGTAATTTTACAAAGACCAAGTACATCATCTGGACAAACTGAATTTTTCTTAAGCAACTCGTCTTCTGAAATATGTTCCAACTGTTGACCTTTGTCTTTAGTTTTGGCTTGACGCGACAAAAATCCTCCACCTTTCTTTTTGCCTGTTGTTGCACTCATAATGTTATTTGTGGATTAAAAATTATCTAACTAATGACAGTTCAGTTATAACATGGTAAAATTTCTGAATTTAAGGTAGTTTTGTGCATCTGTCATGTAAACAATGACTGATTTAGGCAGAAAGCGTCGTATCTCCAATTATGCTGAATGGCGGCGATGGCAACGAGAATTGTGGGAAGCACCTTCCATATCCGGTCTCAGATCTTGTGGTCTTACTAAAACCTTGCTTTTGATGATTCCGTATCGTAACGTTATAGAATTTTGTTTTTATTTATTACGTATTGGAAAGAGTTCAACGTGGCACCACATCAAACATTTTTAATTTCATTTTTATTATTTATTGGAAAGAGTTCCACATTGCAACAGAGGCTCTTGGGAATGGACCACACTTTTTCTAATATTTTTTTTTTGTTTTTTACTCAATATTCTGTAATATTTTCATGCTTTTAAATTTTGACCCTCTATTATTACTTTCCACAAGGCAGGAAAGATCGAAATTTCAAATTTGTTTACAAAATAAAGATATTAAATAAGCCAGATAAAAGGCACAAAAATACAATTAAACAAGCAGCAATACGTTAAATAAAAACACCAATGAAGCGCTATAAATTATCCTGGAATTAATAAGCATGATAAGATAGGCATCAAAGCAAAAAGCAAGTAAAAGCGTAAACTTAACATGATTAGAAAGCTGATAAAATTCACAGCATAAAAGATAAAAGAAGGGATATGCCGATATAAATAAAGTGATAGACATGTCAAAATTTGGATATTGATATGGAAAGTTTAATTATACATGTCAAATCAAAAGTATGTTTTTGGGGGGAAAAAAATAGGTTTTTTTTCGAATTCGTTCATTCTTTCGAGTCGTTTATCCCATTCTGGGTGCCTGGAAAATAAAATTGTATTCCGTTTATTCCTTTGTACAAAATGTGTCCCCATACTGACTATTTTTTAAGAAACCGTTGTCATTTTCCTTATTTCAACCAAGATAATATTATTAAAGGAAACTGGGAATAACTTATGTAAGCAAAAGGGTCGGGCGAATCAAACAATCACTTTTTGATTCTTAGGTAACAATTAAAAGAACATGCTTGTTGTTACGTGTAGTTAGTTTACTCATATGCAATATTGACAGTTCTCCGTAAACAAATTGACTAATGTCGGTACTTCTTATAGCTGAATTTACAGTATGGGTTTGCTCATTGTTGAAGACCTTACGTAGACCTATAATTCATTGGACACATGTTGAATAGTTGTCTCATTGGCAATCATACCACGTCGCATTATTTTATATAAAATAGCAGTTTGTAGTACTTTAACATAACTTCACAAGGATTGACGGCTCCGGGGGTGAGTTTTGAAAAAATACAATATGTTAAGCTTTTAATCGTTTTTCTTTAACAATTAATTAGTATAGTATGCATAGATATACAATTTACAAGTTGTAACTAGCATTAACAAAAAGAAAAATAATAAACGTCAGAAATATCAGTCACATGTTAAACAGTATGTGAGCTTCAAAATACATATAATATAAATATGTCTTAAATATTGTTTCTGCACTGAAACCCATACAGTGTAAAATGTAACTCTTGCTTAACTTGGTGATATAACCGTTGTTTGGTTAATTGTGAAAATGAACTATCCAAACAAAGTACCCATTGATTGTCCCAATAATCATTCATACCAAGATCATATGCTAGTTTTTTAATACAAGTTATCCAGTTTTTACATAAATTACTATTTGCTACTAATTCTTTGTAGCATGACTGTATAATACAATTTTTACTACCATGAATTTTAAACTATAATTTGGTCATCCTGAAACTTCGCTCATATAACAATGGAAATCTTCCTAATTCATAATATACCATTACATTAGAAGTCGAGCTCTTGGCCCCTAGTACTGATTTTAAATCTGATCGACTATAGTAAAACAGGAAATAACCAGTGATTTTTATAGATTTGACTTTATTTAAAATCTTCATGAAAGACTTAATAACGGCTGTCTCCCCAATATGAAACGGTACCTGTCGTTAAATCTTAAAAGGAATTTCCTTCCAAGCTGAAAGCTGAAGTTGCCCCGGCTGGGGGTAGTTTTATACATAGAACTGCTGGTTGCTTGAAATAAAAGCATATCAAATAATATTTATTACAGTTACAGATTATAACAAAGACGTATTCTGTGATTTCCACACACACAAGTCCAAAGTAAGAAAAGCTTACAAAAATATAAAACATTGACGAGCACAAAAACCATGGCTTTGATATGACAGTCAAAAACCATAAACGGTCAAATTTGTCTGAGGGAATTGTATATGTAACCTTAGCTCTAGCAGAGCGTTAAGATTCGTATATAATGACTATATATTTATCATCCTCTGAAACTCTTCTCGAGAACGTAAAGATTTTAACCCTACAAGTGAGACGCATCAGGAAACTGGCACTTCAGACTTATATAATTTTGAACAATTTGGCTTCTTTATGTTTACAAAATTTTATACATCCAGAGAGTCTGGAATACTCGCTAACAAGTTTAATTTAATGACCCCAATATGGATGCATATTTATACGGCCCATACATCAAAACCATTCTCTTATTTTCTACGTTGTGGATGTCAAAAAGAGACGGATGATAGCAAGAAACAATCTTAAACCGAAGTGACACCTAAAAAAAGCATGGAAAAAATCCCAAAACCACGAAAGGACAAACAGCAGTCTACAACACACTACATACAAAACTTAAGAATGAGCAACACGAATCACGCCAAAACCCGGGGGTGATCTTCTGTGATCCGGATTTTAAGCAGGTCCCGCGCAACATGCATGTTGCATCAGTCGTGTAGCTTCTTTAGTAAAAATTTGTGGGTAAATCTCATGTTTTGATGTCACAATCGAGGAAAAGAGAACGGGATTGCGCTTACGATAATTGGAACATATCCGTTGTCATCGGTGGCATAGATATTCCTTAAAGGTCAACCAACTCATAATGGCGTCCGTAAAACTTTCGAAAGGAAGACCTCAACTTTACCACTAGGGTCTAGTGGTATCAACGGTTAAGTGGTTGACCGATTAACCGTCGGATACCGATTACCAAAATCTTTAACAAATTAATCGGTTTTTGATTTGAAAGATTTGATAAAAATGTGTATTGAAAACTGAATAACACTTGAATTTAAACGAACATCATCATGATTAATTTGACAAATCAATTGCACTTTATTATTAATGAACAAAATTAAACATAGGTAGAGGTGCACAACAATACATCGTGCCATTCGTAAAGTTCTGAAAACAAGAACGGTATTTGAACTAAAACTTTACTACTTTACTAATTTTAGTCTTAGATACATGATTTTTGTTTATTAGTTGTGATTGGCTTTGAACTAGCTGTCAGTGACTGCGAGTACTCTCAGATCTGTACTTAGTGTCTTTTTTGTTGTTAGGGATGAGTGATGGATAAATACCCTGCCACGTCCGATCTCTGTTGTTGTTTGGTGTTTTCCGGCTTTGTATCGATCTGATGAGTTAAGCCTTTTTCAACTGATTGTTATAGTTTGTTCTTATTTTCTGCTGTTAAATCACCGTCTTAGGTTAGGGGGAGGTTTTAGCTCTCACAAACATGTTTTACCCCGCCACATTCTTTATGTGCCTGTCCTGTAGTTTAGCGGTTGTCGTTGGTTCATGTCTGTCATATTTGTTTTTCGTAAATTGTTTTGTTATAAATTAAGCCGTTTGTTTGCTCAATTGTATTGTTTCATATTTTTAATGTCGGGGCCTTTTATAGCCAACTATACAGTATCTCATTGTTGAAGGCCGTACGGTTGCCTATTATTGCTTGCATCCACTTCATTTGAACTTGGGTGGATAGTTGTCTCATTGGCAATCATACGACATCTCCTTATTTTTATACTGATAAACCGGTCAAAAAAACCGTTTAGGTCAAATGTTCAATATGACATCACTACAAGGAAGCCTTGGTTCATAATCTTCCGTGTTAGCAGCTACATTCTTTCAAGGAAATCAAGATAGTTAACACATGCTCTGGAATATCGTATCAACTAGGAGATGGGTGTGAAATAGATCACACAGAGTGCTAACTAGGTTTTTTCTCAATAAAGTGCTATAAAAAAAGGTGCTGATTTTCCCTACAAGTAGCTAAAACTATGAAAACGAGTAATAATAAATACCTACGCAACGCACATTTGCGAAACACAGAGAAGAATTGTTTGCTCCAAAAATAATGATAGACAGGCTAACTGAATGCTTATATAAAATATGTGACGGAGAGTTTATCGATTTCTCGAGTTTCGGAAAACGAATACAGCAGGAGATTTTTAAGGTGCTTTATGAAAAACAAGAAAAAGAACCAAGGGATAAAAGGTAATAAGACTGTAAATAACGAAACAGACCAATATATGAAATTTGCACTTGAGAGAGTTAACATAACGCTTTCAACAAATGTCAAGTGTAAAATCATACTACAAGCTCTAAATCATCAAAGGTCTGTGAAGAAATTCAACAGATACAATACTAAATATTTTGCTTGATATTTTATAGTTCGCACAATTCGTTTCGTTAAAATTGTTTAGTACAAAGAAATAACCGCTTCTGAACACTTGGAAAATAGACGTAGCAGGGGTTCTTTTCACAAAAAAATCTTACGATAAAAAATGATCGTAAGTTATACTGAAATGTTCATGACTTTTTTTCAATACTTCAAGTATTTTTTTTCTCTTAAGATTTTTTTGTGAAAAGAGTCGCAGGTTTTTAATTCACTTTTTCAACATTGTATGAAACAGCTCTATAGAATATTAAGACAGTGAAAATCTGAAATTTATTGACACAAATATGAAGGCTATTTTATTTTTTTTCTTTAACACTTCCAACGCGGAAACTATCAAATTCAAAATATCCTCTGCAGACGTCATGATTATTTGGACTAATTATTATGAAAATACACCATCTCCTTCTTGTATATAATATGTATGTTGTGTTTCTGGAGTCAAGTTGTAGAAGCAACAATGTGCAACTATTCATTAATGGAAGTCACATACTGATCAACGGACAAATATCGATATCATATTGATAATCATATAATAATTTAAGTAAACAATTCAAGGTTATTATAAATTAGTTTTGTATGCAAAAAGTCAGTTTGATTGACAGTTTT